CCTTTTTCTTCTTTGAGCTTTTTGTTTCCAAAACTTTTTGAGTYTGTTAGTTTGTCAAGTCTGGAGTGTGAAGGTTGTCAACTTGGAAAGCATTGTAGACATTCATTTAAACCTAGTAATAAAAAATGTTCTTCTTCTTTTGATGTTATTCATTTGGATGTGTGGGGCCCTTACCATGTTCCTTCTATGGGAGGCTATCGATATTCTATTATTTGTGGATGATTTCTCACGATACTCTTGGATTTATCTGATGAGATCCCGCGATGAAGTACCACCCTTGGTGAGGCAATTTCATCAAATGGTACTAACACAATTTGGAACAAGAATAAAGGTGTTTAGATCCGACAATGCCAGGGAATATTTTGAAAGACACCTTGCCTCATATCTGTTAGAATATGGTGTTGTCTATTAGAGCAGTTGTCCCTACAGTCCACAACAGAATGGTGTTGCAGAAATGAAGAACAAACACATTGTTGAGATTGCAAGAAGCATGATAATCACATCTACAGTTCCAGTTTGATTTTGGGGTGATGCAGTTCTCACCTCAATATATCTAATTAACAAGGTGCCCTCTCGTATACTTGGATTCAGTACCCCATTCAGTCTCATTTTTCCTCAGGGGGAGATGTTTCATATTCCTCTCAAGGTGTTTGGGTGTGTCTGATTTGCACATATCCTTGGTCCTCACCGCTCGAAGCTTGATCCCTAGGCAAAGAAGTGTGTCTTCCTTGGATATGCAGAGAATCAAAGAGGATATTGCTACTATGATCCAGTCTCTGGGAGTCGGTATGTTACCATGGATGCCACTTTTTTTGAATCCACGTACTTCTTCTCAAAGAATCCTTCTCATGGGGAGTGTTTTAGGGAAGTGAGTCAGCAGTCTATTCCTCTCCTAGTTCCAGTCCCTGTGTCTACTCCTATGCTTGACCACCACCCTGTGTCACCTACCTTGCCACCTCCTTTGCATTCTGCTTCTCAGCATTACTTACAACAGTGACTTCACAAGGAGGTTGATTCCACTACAGCAGAACTCACATCACTTCCTGTCGATTCCTTAGAGACTCCAGATTCGGCTGACATGGATTCGGGTATTCCTCTTGGTCCCGCTACTGTTTCAGTTCCCATTGATTCTACTAACACTGTTACAGATAACCTTGATCTCCCTATTGCTCTCAGAAAAGGGAAGAGAAAGTGTACTGCTCATTGTATTTCACAGTACTTATCCTACAGTGGGCTTTCTCCTTCCTACTGTGCTTTTCTTTCCTCTCTTGATTCAGTGTCTATACCCAAGGGTGTTGATGCTCTCTCCAAACCTGAGTGGAAGACAATTATGCAGGAAGAGATGGCAGCTTTGATTAAGAATTAGACATGGGACATTGTGGATTTACCAGAAAGCAAGGAGACAATTGGATGCAGATGGGTTTACACAGTAAAATACAATGCAGATGGAAGTATAGAAAGGTACAAGGCAAGACTTGTTGCAAAAGGGTACACACAGACCTATGTCATTTATTACTTAGAAACCTTTGCACCAGTTGCAAAGATGACCTCTGTTCGGATACTTCTTTCTCTTGCTGCCTCATACTCTTGGCCCTTGTTTTAACTTGATGTGAAGAATGATTTCCTAAAT